TTTTTTTTTTTTTTTTTTTTTTTTTTTTTTTTTTTTTTTTTTTTTTTTTAATTATAAATTAACTCAAGTTTTTAATTTACAGGGTGGTGAAGAGGACAACTTTGCCATTGTTTTTGCCGCTATGGGTGTTAACATGGAGACAGCTCAATTTTTCAAACGTGATTTTGAGGAAAATGGTTCTATGGAGAGAGTGACCCTATTTCTGAACCTGGTATTTCTTTTATACATAGATTGATGTAACTTTGTTGCGACTATTTATTCTTAAATATGGAGGCCATGGTATTTTACAGGCTAATGACCCTACAATCGAGCGTATTATCACTCCTCGTATTGCTCTTACCACTGCTGAATATTTGGCTTATGAATGCGGGAAGCATGTTCTCGTCATATTGACAGATATGAGTTCTTATGCTGATGCCCTTCGAGAGGTAATCCAATGATGTATTTATTCATAGTTTCAGTTTCTAAATCTTTTACTTAACTGCAACTGAATGCAAAAGTAAATGCAGGATGTCCTAGATGATAACTAATCTTTGGGATTTCATTTTAATTGGAATTTAATTGGAATTTGGCTGACCTATGACCAAATATTGTAGTTCTATAGTTTTTAACCCTTAAAAAAATTGCTTTTAGTTGATGACAACTTTGTTAAATTAACTGATATTTAAGTTCGCAAGATGTTCCTTGACAAAGAGGGGAAATAGAAGAAAAGAGTTCAAAAAACACATAAATCAATTGACTTCTTTGCAGGTGTCTGCAGCACGAGAGGAAGTACCCGGAAGGCGTGGATACCCTGGTTATATGTATACTGATCTTGCTACAATTTATGAGCGAGCTGGACGTATTGAAGGACGTAAAGGATCCATCACTCAAATCCCAATCCTCACTATGCCAAACGATGGTAATGCCTCAAGCTATGTTTATTGTCTTGTTAAATGAACGTTTTTGTTCTTTAGCATTTTAATCGATTCTTTTGGGGTTTTGGGTGTGATCAGATATTACACATCCGACTCCCGATCTTACCGGCTATATTACCGAGGGACAGATCTACATCGATAGGCAGCTCTACAACAGACAGGTTAGTTTATGAAGCTTAGGATTTATATATATATATATATATATATAATCCACCCATCATTTGGTTCTACAATGGCTCTTTAAGAAATGAACAGTGTAACACTGCCTCATTTTGATATTCTGTAAATCCATGAATTGTTATACCCAAATGGAAACATATTTAACTAGTTTTCAGGTTGCCAGAGATATAGAAGAAATTTTTTATGAACTCGGAATTTATATTTAACGATAATTGCTAGTTGCGAGTATTCTTCCTATTGACTCTGGACCTGATAACTATCTTCTTGGCTTTGCCAGATATACCCACCAATCAATGTCCTTCCTTCATTGTCTCGTCTTATGAAGGTAACTTTTCTTCCACAATGTTTGATAGTTTTAGAAGCATTGAAAAATTCATGATGCACTCTAAATCTATCCTCTGTTACTGCAGAGTGCCATTGGTGAGGGAATGACCCGTAGGGATCATGCTGATGTATCCAACCAGGTTAGCTTCCTTTGTTATAGCTTTACCAATCCATCTTCGAGCCAGTAATAAAGGTCGTGTGACTTAAATATCTATGCGCCCTCGAACGCGCAGCTCTATGCAAATTATGCAATTGGGAAGGATGTTCAGGCAATGAAAGCCGTGGTTGGAGAAGAAGCACTCTCTTCTGAGGATCTGGTATTTATCTTTCTTTCATTTTTTTTTTTTTATGAGAATTGTTATGGGATAACAGCAAAGTAACACTGCTTTCTGAAAACAGCTCTATTTGGAGTTTTTGGACAAATTTGAGAGGAAGTTTGTCTCTCAAGGAGCTTACGATACTCGAAATATTTTCCAATCGCTTGATCTGGCATGGACACTGCTTCGTATTTTCCCTCGCGAACTTCTGCACCGTATACCTGCAAAGACTCTTGATCTGTTTTACAGCAGAGAATCTGCAAATTAATGAACCAAAGCTTGTAAGAGACCGCCCGCGTAGATAGATCGTAATGAGCTTTGAGAAATGTTATGTTCAGTTTCTCCCTCTTTCCTTCCCTTCTCTCCATATTGCATAAATTCAGAGTGAACAATAAAAAAGTTGTGTACCATCTCATTCTCACAGTTCAGCCCTCTTTCCAAGCAAAAGTCAGAATGGGAACAACATTCTTTTTAGCAAGGACATCGAGCTCTTCTCCAATGTCGTCTGTATTATGTTTAATTATTTTGTTGGATTGTGGCATCAGTGCTGCTTTGGGGCATGCTCAACAACTTTTCGGGCATCTAAGTTCTATAAAAAGGCCCTTTCCAATTCCCCTTGTCTATTTATATAAGTTGATATTATATATTGTATTCCGAACAGTTTTGAGAACTTCTGAAGAATTCGGTTTCTTGTTATTATAAATTTCTCCATTGTCGTTTTAAAGCATGTTCAATAACTATTTGGCTTGGAGTTCTTACTTTAAAGTTAGAGGTTGAATATTCAAACCTCTATATCACACATTTGTCTAACAGAAAGTTCCCTAGCAGGGAAGGAAGACGTACCATGTTACTTCATATTTTGTCGTCTAGCTTTGATCTCTGGTTTGATGGTTATATGTGATAAATATCTGGTACATTTCATTTTGTTTCCCATTCCAATTTTTCGCATAAGTTTACTTCTTTGATTAGGTCTCAACTTCTTCGCTATGATCTTCACAATAGTTCATATAGAAGCTATACCCGTTTCATTCCTATTTGTTGTTACAATGTTCTAAATTTCAATTGTCTTACTACCATATAAGCCCCTTTTAGCTTCCTAGCATTAAGGCCATAAAATACCACATTCTTGGTGGAATTGGTCATGGTAAATTACACTACTTCATAGTTGAAGATTCCAATTCAAACTTAAAACCAAGTAACTTGAAACTTAATAATCATAGAATGGCAAGTAAAAAAGTACCTGGGCTATTCCAAAGACTAACAAAATCCTATGCCAATAGCAGCAGAATGACCAGTTTGCTGATAAATTTAAGTTGCTAACTTGAAACCAGCAACAAATCACAAACCGAAGTCATTATTCTAGTATTACCTGCGACTGAAGAACTGAGAGTAGGCTCTCTTTGCAAGCCATAATATGAAATTTGACCCAACTACACTGCAACTTATGACACCAGCTCTTCATGTTGAGTACCGTACCATAGTTTTGAACCTCCACGTCTTGTATGTGCTCAAGTACAAGATCATGATAAAGCTATAACTTACCAGATCGAGAACAATAACGATTCCTATCGTCACAGGCCTGAAATGAATCACTGAATACTGACATAGTGCTTGCTTTTTGGCATTCCCAAAAGCAATAAATTTGAAGACAATAATTGTAGCTATCAGCTCAGCAATGCCATGAAATAAATAGATAAACAACCAAGTGAGCTATGCCCTATACATAGAAAGAAAGAAGAATAAATACAACTGAGAGTGTTAGAGATGTTCAATTACACAACAACAGATGAGAAACTATAGCATGTGGCTACTAGCTTTACTTCTAAAAGAATTTGAACCCAACTTTTGACTCGTGCATCATTTGGCCAAATAAATGGCCTTCAACAGAGTAATGGAATAAGATACAGCACAAACAAACGAATCTCGTGTTAGTTATTTTCATCAAGATTCATTAAATTGCTATAGTGAACAAAAGTCAGGTATTAATTAGAAAATTTTACTTGGTATCGTACTCATCTGGACCACGATTCTCACATAACCATAATTGAAAGTATCTCTCAATTGTCTGCAGCTAAAACAGTATACAAATAGGAAAAATAATTCCTAAGTAGAGATATGGCAATAATGCAAACTGAAAAGGTGGCAGCAAGAACATGTTCTTTCACCTTAACATTCATGACAAAGGGTGATCTCGACTCAATATGGTACAATTGATCTTGTTAGTGACAACTTATTGTTTTTGCTTCTCACCAGCCTGTTTAAGTTAACAGAAGAAATTATCAGAAGGGTAGAAAATGATGGAGATAATAAACTCAATAAAAGAAGAATATTTTTATTCTCTATGAAAATGAAAGTATACTTGAAAAGTCAAAAGCTTATGGATAGACTTGATGGGAGGTTAATACGAGTTACAAGATCCTACAAGATCCTAAACTAAGTATTTATACTGTCCTCTCCAACCAACTAGGGTACCCTTGTTGTCAACACAATGAGAATCCTGAATGACTCTTTTTGGTGTGTCCTTCATTCATCCTTAGTGGAAGGTATCCTTGGTGGTGATTTTAACATCTGATGTATAGCAGCCCAAGTCCACTGCTAGCAGATATTATCCACTTTGGCTCGTTACGCATCGCCGTCAGCCTCACGGTTTTAAAACTCCACCCCCTTATAAAGAGTGCTTTATTCCCCTCTCCAACCGATGTAGGATCTCATAGTCCACCTCCCTTCGGGGCCCAACGTCATTGTGGGAACACTGCCTCAGTCCATCCCCCTTTGGAGCTCAACCTCCTCGCTGGCGCATCACCCGGTGTCTAGTTCTAATACCATTTATAACAGACCAAGTCCACCGCTAGCAGATATTGTTCGCTTTGGCCCGTTACGTATCGTCGTCAACCTCACGGTTTTAAAACATGTTTGCTAGGAAGAGGTTTCCACACCTTATAAAGAGTGCTTTGTTCCCCTATCCAACCAATGTAGGATCTCACATGATGTCTTTAATAGTCAATATGGTTTCCTTCCTAAGGAAAGCTATTGCTCTTGTGGTTCGATGCTATCAGAGCTACGTTTGGTTTGTTCGGTTATCGGAACGTATTTTGTGGTATTATTAACGTACGATGTATTTGATAGTCAGTATGGTTTCCTTCGTGGTTATTATTTCCAAAGAAAAGCTATTTGTTTATCTCCAATTGGAATAATCATGACCCTTAGTCTCATTACTAGCAAGAAAATAATAGTTAAAAGAGTTAGAGAGAGAGAGAGAGAGAGAGAGAGACCTTTTGGAGTTTCTTTAAAATGGAATCTTCAAATGCTTGGTAACCAGCTCCTACTAAATTATTCAATCGATTATGCTCTGGTGATTTCTCAGCAGCGGGCATCTCTACTGAAGAAACTGGTTGAAGGGGCAAAACTAGTAAAGGGTTAGATAGATCACCAAGCACAGATCTAGTAGAGGCAACCTGCAATACAAATACAACCCAAGTATAATTACTATAATAGTTTTAAGTCGTAGTTTTAGAAAAAGTAAGCTAAAAACAGAGAAAGCAGATGAAGGGAAAATAAGTTTATGGCAAAACTCACTGCAGCATCTTTACTCGACATTACGATCACCGCTGAACCTTTCTTCTTCTTGTTATGCCTAATAACAACATCTTCAACCTCACCAAACTTCGAAAACATCTCTCTTAATTTCTCTGCAGTATAATCCTCGCCAATCTTTTCCCATGAAACCTTAAGCATCCTCTCTTTGTCCATTGTAGATCCAGGATCGCCATCGCTATTCTTTCCAACTCCCCCAGTCTCCTTCTTTGGTGGAAATGTTGTCGGTGCTCCTTTCTTTGCGTGCATAGCTCGAATTCTAGCAATCTCTTCCTTTAGCTTTTTGGCAATTTTTTCTTCTTCTGCTAGTTCTTTTGCAGCAGGGTCGGGAGCAAATGCAGATCGCTCTCTTGCTTCAAGGTCCATCATCATTTTTTGACGCTTAGAATCACGCTCTGATTGTCGGCGATGCTGCTCGCGTTTGACTCTTAGAAGATCATCAAATAATTTCCTTGCCTTCTCATCCTTTAGAATCTCGTAGGATGACTTCAGAATTTGGAAATTAGCATGGGCATTTGGATCATCTGGCCTCTTGTCAGGGTGCAATTCCAAAGCCTTTGCTCTGTATGCTTTAGATATCTCTTTCTCAGAGAGCTTGGAACCTTCCTCACCCGAAGGCAACCCAAGAACAGCATAATGATCGACATCCATGTCTACAAGAATTCAAGAACAACCAACAAATTTCAGACAAACTATAACCATAAACACCCACATACACATCACAATTAGCAAGACTCAGAAAAGAAAAACTTCAAAATGTGTAAACGAACTTTTGCAACAAATCTTAAAAAGAAAGATCTAAAGTAGAAATAAACACATAAAAAAGAAAAAAGATTCACCCATATTCCAATCGAAAATAAGCAATTTACACCAAATTACCTCAACTAAAATGTATGATACTACCATATCCACCAAGACTGGATCGACATATCAAACAAATCGAACGGTTATGTGCCTATTGCTAACGGTTATGTGCCTATTGCTCATAGTCAAAGAATTTCATCATTTGATAAACAGGAAACATACCGCGCATGATTCAGAGGTACAATTCCAAACCAAGATTGCAACCAAAAGCGTTTTATATCATCAAGCCGTCTCAAAGACAAATGTTTGTGAACCTTCCATTCAAAGTCCTTATAAATCAATAACTGTTCCTAAATAAATTTGTTCTAATATCCCATCCATGCATTAAAAAAAAAAAACAGAAAACGTTTGATGCAACTGCGGAGGAAGTAAAGAAGCAAGAACCGAACGAATCTTGCCCAATATCTAAGAAGCACCGAAACCCTAGATTGTTCAAACTAGCCACACCATTCCCTCAGTTCCACCAAATCAAAACCCAATAAAAATATAAATTATTGAAAATCAGTAGAACACAGAAAGCATGTATGCTCAAAGTACCAATATGCATAAAAAAATCAAGGATGCGAGGGAAACAAAGTTCCAATCTACGAACATAAGCTTCAATGAAACAGGAATCGGAAAATTTCCAAGATGTCGTCCTAAACGAGTAACCTTTCCAACAATTTCTTTCGTAGTTCCGGAATTAGGTCAAATGTAACACTCAACGAATAGATATATATATATATATATATATATATATATATATATATATATATATATATATATATATATATATA